TCAGCCAGAAAAATGATCGGATGGATTATGAGAACTTTCAAATCCAGGGATCCCATCACAATGGTTGTACTCTTCAAGTCACTTGTGTTGTCCCATCTTGAGTACTGGTCAGTACTCACCTCCCCCTTCAGAGCAGGAGAGATTGCTGAAATAGAGGGAATACAGAGAACATATACGGCACACATAGACGCGATAAAGCACCTAAATTATTGGGATCGTCTCAAAGCTCTCCAAATGTACTCTCTAGAAAGGAGGCGAGAGAGATACCAAATAATATACACGTGGAAGATACTGGAGGGCCAAGTACCAAATCTACACAGTAAAATAACGTACTGGAATGAACGATATGGAAGAAAATGCAGAATAGAACCAGTGAAGAGCAGGGGTGCCTTAGGCACAATCAGAGAACACTGTATAAACATCAGAGGTCCATGGTTGTTTAACACCCTCCCAGCGAGCATAAGAAATATTGCCGGAACAACAGTGGACATCTTCAAGAGGAAACTAGATTGTTTCCTGCAAGGGGTACCGGACCAGCCGGGCTGTGGTGGGTATGTGGGCCTGCGGGCCGCTCCAAGCAACAGCCTATTGGACCAAACTCTCACAAGTCGAGCCTGGCCTCGGGCCGGGCTTGGGGAATAGAAGAACTCCTAGAACCCCATCAACCAGGTATCAACCAGGTAACGTCCACCCACAACACACGTTGTGGTTGGTCGTGTACATTGCGTTACCGGCTGCTACTTGGTCCATAATCCGGTCTTTTCCTTGCCTGCAGTATTTCTGTTTTTCCTCCCTCTATGCTTCACATGGCTGTGTATCATGGTCGGTGCTTATTTGCTATGCTGTTGTTAGGTGCTTGGGTGGGCCTCTGTCCATGTTCAGTTCCCTGATTTTGGACTACCCCAGTGTTCAGTTTTGGTACGGAGTTCTTTCACTTTTTCGTTGTATCTCACTGCAGATTTCTGTGTTGCAATGTCTGCAGGAGGTTGTGGACTTCCGGTCAACTGCTCTTGCCCTACTGATTCCTTTTCTTGGGACATTGGTAGCTAGGATTCCAGTCTGGGCTACGGCTTTTCTTTGTTTCTTTTCCAGATAGTACATTTTTGTTTTCCTACAGTAAACTTCCTGCATAGTTCTCCTGTATACCTCGGAGATGCATGCATCGTTCTTCCCTGCTGGAGCTGGTTGCGCTGGTCCTTTGGGTTGCGGGGTCGCAGTTTTTCACTTCACGTCTCGTGCTTTAGTTCGTGGTGCTCGTTTTCCTCGTTGGCCTCTGCCTGGGCCCTGGCTCTTCGGTGTTTGGCCTTGTTGGTCCTTCAGGGATCCTGGGGGGTTCCTCCCGGACGGGGCGTGTCTGCTCGCTTGGGTTGGTTCCTTTTCGTCTTGCTGGGATTGGGTTCCTGGTTCCCTGGTAGCCGTTCCTTCTGGGTTTTGCCAGACTTCTCTTGAGGTTATCTTGAGATGATTTCGGGACTTTTAGTGTCCCCGGCACCCCCAGGAAGCAGCGTGACAGCTGACTAACACCCAGGTACCTATTTTACTGCTAGGTAACAGGGGCATAGGGTGAAAGAAACTCTGCCCATTGTTTCTCATCAGCGCCTGGGATCGAACCCAGGACCACAGGATCACAAGTCCAGCGTGCTGTCCGCTCGGCCGACCGGCTCCCCCGACTTGGTTGGAGGTGCTGCTTTACTCGGTTTCCAATCCTGAGGGGCTTCCTGCGGCTCCGCCTCTTTTTGCGGATCGGTTCAGTCCTGTACAAGGCTGGTTTGTTCTTCCCCTCATATCTTCGCATCTCGGGTATTTGTCTCGAGTTCTCGTCGCTTGTGTAGGCACTGGTGGCTTCGTTGTTGGTCTCCCACTTGCATGCTTCCTCACTGTGGCAGAGTGTAGTTTTCCTGGCGGTCCTTCTGGTTTTCCTATCACTGCGAAGGGTTCCTCGTTCTCTGATTGAGTTGTCTTTCCCTGCGGGGTTGTTCCGGGGACAATCGTCTGGTGCCGTGTACTGTTTCCTCGTCTTGGGTGGCGCTGGCGGAGCCGCTCCAGCTTGCATTCGGTGATGCTGTTCCTTCTGCTTCGTTCGTCTTGCTGTCTTGGGCGTTGTTTCACCTCTGGCCTGCTCTTGCGCTTCCGGTGCCGTCCTGGTCATTGGCCCGGGTAGTCTATTTTCTTTCTTCTACTCGGTTTGTCGTGATCCCTTTGGTTCTGGTGTGTTTTTGTTTTGTTTTTCAGGTCTCCTTCTTCTGTTGGTGTTGACCTTTAGGGGTTGGATCCGGCTCTCCTCTAGCACTCGTGTTTTTTCTGCCTCGTTTGGTCCTCGTGGTAGGTTATTCGTTTGATGCAGTCTCCTACTTTTCGGGTGATGTTTGGGTTTGCTGCTTTCCAAAGGGGTCCTTGGGTTTGTAATAACCCTGAACTCTCGTAATCTCTCTGAACGCTATCCCTGTTGTAATTCTCTTTCTCTCTTCACTCAATACCCCAGCTTAACACTGTTACAGTCCAGTATGACCCCTCACTGGACTGCCACGAATATAAGAGGAATATTAAATGAGGAAGATACATCAAGGACAAGGGTTATTAATTTATGAAAATAATTATAAATCATTAAAACCATTAAACACTGCCACCACCTTCCCGACCACCCATACCTGAATGTGTCTATCACCGATCCCCCAGGAAGGCAAGGAATCAGTAATCATGGACTCCTGGGTAATATGAACTTCAGTAATAAATTTTGGAAAATTAGTTTGTTTAATTTACTTTACTTATTTAAATCCAAGGGCAACTTTAGTATCTATTAACTGTAGGAGAACATGGGGGTTTCCAATTCAACACATAAAAATGACAAAGTAGAGAAATATATCAAAGGGGAGTTAAGTGAATACCACTGGACAAGTTATACAATTTATTTTATGAAACATGTAAATTAAGTCAATTTGAACATATACCCTATTCTATTCCCCTAGAGGCACAATGGATATCTACTGAGGACATGAATCAAGTGCACAATACCTTAACACCGCACTGAGGCCAAGATGTTGATGGCTGCCCTCAGCCCCTTGGATGCGGGCTGCGTCCCTTATTCCCCACACTCCCAAGACACACTACTGAAATTTTGTTTTACTAGCTTATTGCTGGAAAGGATTACTCCTCCCACCATCTAATACAGCCCCAGGGCTCCACCCATTATTTTGGCAATGGCCAACCATTTAACACTAGGCCTGAGGTCTGGCTCTCTAGGGCCAATAAGGACTTGGCACTTATCTGCCGCCAATCACCTTCCATGATCTGCCGTGGAAGGCTACTTGAATTCCTGAAGATTGAGTCAGCTCTCTCCAGCTATTAGAAGGGAACAAGGCACCTCTATGAAGCCCAGTGCCCTCCGAGCAATGTTTACCACACTAATAAATTATGTTCAAGCCTGTCTCCTCCAAGATAAAGAGTAGGGACATTTGACTCGCCTGGTATGGGGAAGGGACCGGTGAGAGGGGAAAGAGAGGGAATGAGAGGTGGATGGAGAGGGAAAACCGAGTGGGGGAGCCAAAGGTATCACGAGGGCCAGCTGCAAGACCACCCTCAGGTCAACCTCTTGGCCCTGACAAATGGGCGACAGAGGAGGAGACGAATGACAGGCAAGGGGAGGGGAGAAAAGGGGAGAAGGAAGGAGGGGAGAGGGGAGAAGGAAAGGAGGGGAGAAGGGAGAACCAATGATCTGAGCACCAGATCATTACAGGTTGCTGCTTGGTTGGTCAGGGCCTGGCGTGCTTCCTTTGTTACTCGGTTGCGGCTCTTCGCTGTTCTCTGCGCGTCTTGGCCTCTGGGGCTGTGGACCCGTTTTGGTTTGCCCGGGTGCCCTTCCTTCCATCCTTCCTGTTCTGGGATTCGGGTCTCCCAAGTTGTCTGCAGGGTTCTTTCGTTTCGTCTGTGGTCTTGTTTTTATGTTAGGGCGTGTGATGTCTGCCTCCCGAATCCTTCCCTCTTTTCCTTATCTGTGATGAGGTAGCTCCGGGGAGCCGACAGAGCTTCCCCCAGAAAACCAGCATTGAATGTAATGAAACGCCATTTTCTGGGTAAGTTCCGGAGGCTCCCTGGCATCCCTCCCTCCGTCCGGTCGGCGGTGTTTTTTGTGTATTTTGACATACAGCCTAAGAACTGCCAGTTGGATCGCCGGCGCGGAGGGTCTGGAGCTCGCCCATCCCCCTCCCTGGGAGGGGGGTTATGCAGATGGCGACACGGCGACGTGATGACGTCATGTTAGTTTGAAAATTTTGTTTAGGGAGTTCTGTCCACCCGTTCGGCTTTCAGTAGCAATATTTTCACCAGAATAGGGGTTTGTTTTGAGGCGCCTACCTTTCTGGGTGCCTATCCCAGTCGATGGCAGACAGAATGCTCCCAACCACAAGGGGGGTTTCATAGGCCATTGCTCCTCGTGCCTCTCTGAGGGGGTCAGGTTCTGGCTCGTGGTCCCTGGTAGGCAAGAACTCCAAGTACTTTGACTGATGCCAGAAAGTTATACATATCCATTCAGCCTGGATAGCTCCGGGGAGCCTCCGGGACTCACCTAGGAAGTGGCGTTTCATTACATACAATGCTGGTTTTTTCTTATTGCCATGAAGATACATATTGCCGTACTGTATTATACTGAAATGGAGATGTTAGGTTACAGCCTTTATGATCTTGCTCACAAAGCTAAAGGGAAATTTTGTGATTGATACCAATGTAGTTTTTACTACACTAAGAGTTTGAGTCTCCTGAGATTGTACAGCATATTTTATAAATTATTCAACTCTTTTGTTAGAATATTTTAGTTAACATGAAAATTAGCATACATTTCTGTGATAAGAGTAGAGATAAATAGTTTAGTGATACACGTGCGTTTGTAGATTATGGTGTCAGTTATTTTGTTGTAAGTCTGTTTCCCCTAAACAGTAAAAAAGCAACTCTTTCTTAACTTGTTGTTTATACTTTTTCTACCACTTGCATTTTTTTGCATGTGCCAGGCTGGAGACTTTAGGCATACGCACTCTCAAGGAGGCTGTGTACATGGTGGACGCTTTTCCTCTCGAGTTTAATGACGATAAAGATGACCAACTTAATACCCTCCTTCACAGCCTTCCCAGGTGAGTAATGACTCTTGCAGGTTTAGTATTGATCAGTATGACATAATGGTTAAAGTTATATCTTGGCTTACCCCTCAGTAGCTTCCCTGTGCTTATGCACTGGACATTAGTAGTCAGACCAGCCAGTAGTAGGTACCTGCGAGACTTGCATTGCCTACCTGGGACAAAGGTATTTACAATTTACTCTTGCCATTTTTACAAAGACAAAGGTATATAATTACTTGTAATTTTTGTTGGGGACAGATAGACTTTGTATATATATACTTAAAGCTCATACTGAGATCCCTCAAGGTCAAACTACTGACCCTCCACAGGATGCAACCCCACAATAATTGCATAACTCTCAGGTACCCATTTACTGCTAAGTAAACAAAAGGCATTAGATGAAAGGAAACATGCCCAACCATTTTTGTCCCACCTGGGATTCGAACCTGGGATTCCCGCTTGTGAACCGAGAATGAACTCGACCATACTACTGATACCTTCAGACCACCATTTAATTGTAATAAGAGAAGGGCACAAAACACTCAAACGCTCTCCAAGAATATTTTAGAAAATATTGAAATACCAAAACAAAACCTTGACAACTACAAGACAAGCAAGTCAAGGTCACACTTGTCCAAGCACACTTGAGGAAGCTGGCACAGGAAGATGGGGCACAGTACCAACTAAGGAACCGACTCAGAAAGGAGTATATCATCAAGCTCAGCACCTTATTTCTAAACTAGGGGACCCCTCACTTGCTCCTGAAAGAACCTCATCATGGAAAAACCAACATCAGAAAGAAGCATTAATAAAAATCAAAGAAGAATGGAAACTTACCAATCCCAAGAAACAGAGATGGTGCTTACTGGAAGAGAAGAGCCACATCACCATCATATGAGGTGACTTCCAGGCCAACAAGTTGCTCACTGTCATACCTGATGGCATTAGAGGTGCTCTTTACAGGAAAAAGTAAACTAATTCTGACAAACATGAAAAATCCAAGCACTGGGACCCAGAGATCATAGATTTAACCACTGCACTGCTCACCTGATTTCGGCAAAAACTTCTTAGTGCAATTGTCAAGGCCATATTTTTGTTGTTTCTTGGGGAAGCCTGTTCGGCTCCCCGGAGTTTACTAGGCTGATATGCTTATGTCAGACTTTGGCATCAGTCATGTGTATGGAGTTCTGTGTTCTATCTGGGACTGTGAGCCAGAACCTGGCCCCCTCAGAGAGGCAAGGGAAGCAATGGCCTATAGAAACCCCAGTGTGGTTGGAAGCATTCTATGTCTGCCATCGACCGGGTCAGGCACCCAGAAAGGTAAGCATCCCAAAACAAACCCCTATTCTGGTGAAAATTTTATTACCAAAAGCCGAACAAGTGGATAGAACTCCCCTAAAAGAAATGAGCAAACGAGCATGACATTACACGTCGCCACACTGCCATCTGCGCAGTTCTTCCCTCCCTGCAGCTCCCCCCTCCCCAGGAGGGAGAAGGGGGGAGCCCCCAGACCCCCCCACGCTGGCTATCCACCCTTCAGTTCTAAGGCTGATGCTAGAGGCGGAGATCGTGTGCTCTGGCTCCAGTGATTGCAGCGCTGTGCTCCGAGTGTGGTGGCTGTCTTCCAGGGGTGCGAGAGCCAGGAGATATTCTACAGTACTCGAGCTGCATGCGCCTACGGTTCTTGTCCCTAGGTGCCCTGTAAGTACTGCCCTTGGGACTTTGGGCCACCTTCCCCAAGGCTTTCGGGGCTTGCCTCCAGTTTACTGTTCAGTTTTCCGGCTGCCCTTTAGGTGCTTGGCGATTTTGTCTTCCTTGTTTACCTTAGGGTAAGAGGCATTTGCACTGGTATAGGGCGCAGGGTGCTGCGCAGCTTGTTTTCACCATTCATATCGGCCGGCTCTGTTCCTTGGGGTACGTTGTCCTCTTGAGAGGTTTTGTTTTTCTGTTTCCTTGTGAGGGGTTCTGCCCTGCTTTCCCCATTTCTGCTTGTGGCCTGAGCACGGTTCTTCTGGTGGTGCCCCCTGCTAGGTCCCCGTGAGTGTACACATCCCTGAGGTTCAGCTTTAGTAGGTTGCTTGGTAGTTTTAGACGCCGGTTAGCAGTACCCTGCCTGGGATTCCCTGAGCATGAGTTCCATCTCAGGACCCTGGGAAACCCCCTAGGGGATGCGTGGGTCCGATGCATGTGTCCCCGGAGTCCCCTCTCGCTACATGCAAGTTCGAGGGTTGCTCGGTCCTCTTGTCTCAGTGTGACCCTCACTGTTTTTGCCTCCGTCACGCTGTCTGTTGGATTGGTGACACTTTCGACCCAGAGTCCTGCGAGTTTTGTTGCTTGCTAGTGACTCAGTTTACCCAATCTACTGATGATGTTCTACGGGTACAGGCGGCGCAGGCATTGCATGAGCGCTTTAGGCTATTGCAGCGCGCTAGGTTGGCTGCTCACTTGGATGCCCTGAGGCTGCCTCGTTTTGCCTATAGGGACCCGGACTTGAGGGGTGGGGGTCGCTTTGACCTTGGTTCAGTCCACACCCCTTCGTCCTTACCCTCCTGTGGTTCGTTCTGGTCCTCCTCCCCTGCTTCCGGCCCCGAAATGTCTAAGGGTTTCAGAGTCGGAGCTGGATTTAGATGGTCTTGAGACTCGAGCAGTTTCGGGGGATGCCACTTCCGGTGTGGCAACGGAGGTATTCGAGTCCGATCTTCCTGCCGAAGCCTCTGGGTCTGACCAATGGGCCCCCCTTCCATCCGTCTTACTCGGCTACGCCAGCCTTTTCTTTAGGGGCCGGTGCTCTGGGGGATGACTCGGCCCTGGGTCCTGCGGAGGAGGATCCTGGGGCGGGGAAGGGGCTGACTTGGGGGTCTTGGGCCCTGCTGGACCCTGTCTGGGTTTTACTGTCCTCTGAGTGGGACTTATTGTTACAAGAAGTGGGGTTCTCTTCCCCCCCCCCCCCCCTCTGCGTACAAGTTCGATTTGGTGTCTGCCCCTCCCCGGGTGCGGTTCCATGTCCCCCCGGGTGAGTCGGTTCTGTCCTTCCGGAGGTTTTCGGCTTACTACATCCTACTGTCTGCAGTGCGGGCGGCCCTAGCAGCTTACCTTCCACGCGACCCAGATTATGCCTCGCTTATGGATCCGCCTTCTTTCAGGTTTGGGCCGTCGTTCCCTTTCTGGGTCTGTTACGAGGTTCCAGAGTCGTCCTGGCTGGCGGACTGTCCTGTGTTTGCTTTGGAGGCTTGGCATTCCTTCTGTTGTTCCCGCACACTTGAGTGGCGCGAGGCTTTGACGGTGGTTCAGGTTTTCTTGGAGGGCGACCTTGAGCACCTCAACGAGTGCTTGTTTGCCCCTGCCCTTCCCTGGGATGTAGACGTGATGCAGCTCCATGTGCAGGTTCCCTCCCTTTTGGTGGCGCAGGCTGCTGAGGACTTGCGCGCTGTGGCCTCTTGGCTTCAGCCTTGCGTTTCTTTTCTCTCCTGGAACTGTCTTCTGACAGGCTTGCGAAGGATGTGGGGACGCTTGGGGCCGTTCCTGGGTTCGGTGCCTTGGGCTCGGCGGCTCGCTCATTGGCTGCCTTGTTGAAGCTCTTTGCTCCGATCTTGCGGGAATGCAGTTTCACTGTTTTATGCTTCCCGGCTTGCGTGTCAGCAAGCGGTGCTTGCCTCCTCTGAGGAATCTGCCTGGGCCCTGGCTCATAGGATGTCTTCACCTTTTTGTCCTCTGCTTTTTGGACCTTTGGCCATGGCGCAGTACAGTGGGGCCCTGGATTTACGATGGTAATCCGTTCCCAGAGACATATCGTAAGTCGAAACGATTTTTCCCATAAGAAATAAAGGGAATTGAATTAATCCGTTCCACACTCTCAAAAATATTAACTTAAAAATACATTTTATACTGAATACAATTTTTTCTCTCTAACTACAATACAGTACATATGTTTATCTTACCTTTATGGAGGACTCTTGATGGCGTATGGAAGATGCTGAGGGAGGGAGGTTGAAGGAGAGGTGTTACTGTTTGGAAGGGGAGTCCCCTTCCATTAGGCAGTGAGGACTTCTCTGGGGTACACACTCTGGCAAGTTTTGCCTGCATACTACTAGGACCTGCTTCTGGCTCACTGCTTGATTTTCTCACTAGAAATCCTTCCATTGAAGATTGTTTTTCTTTTCTTTCCAACACTTGTCTGTAGTGAGGCATCACATTGTCATTGAAAAGATCAATACAACGGGCTGTTACAGCTTTATCTGGGTGATTCTTTTCAGCAAAACTTTGCAGTCCTTCCCATACTGCACACATTCTCTTAATTAATGAGTTTGAAATATCCTCTAATGCCACTGCCACCTCTGAAGATTTATTATACTGCCTAGCTAGTTCAACAACACTAGTACCATTTTCATGTTTATGTATGATCTCTTGTTTTCCTCTATGGTCATTCTTATGTGTTTTCACATGTTGAACCTTACCACTGACTTTCTTGGGACCCATGGCATGATATATAATAATTAGTTTTTATGTTCAAAAAACAAAAAATCACTACAAAAACGGAATTTCTTATAGGCGTGATCATCACTAAGCGGGCAGCTCTAGTAAACTGAGGCAGGTCAGCCCGGGTGACCGGGAACCATGCGCTCAGTCGACCCAAACGTGTACCAACAAATATCGTTAGTCAATGACACTATCGTAAGTAGAGTCAAATTTTTCGATCAAATTTACATCATAACTCGAAAGTATCGTAAGTCGAGTTGCCACTGTATATTCAGACTGCTTCAACCAGTTGCCGTCCTATGTCAGACATGTTGGTTTTCCAAGGGTCCCAGGAGGGGCATTCCCGGATGGGTCGTGCCAGGGCTCAGGTTTCCTCTCGTAGTGGAAGGCCACAGGTGCCAGTTTCGGATTCAGCTCCACCTTCGAACCCGCCTTTGTCTGGTCGGCTCGGTGTTCGCTCTTTGCGAGGCTTTGGGTCTCGTAAGGGGCGCCGGCCCTTTCGCGGTTCGCCCCATTGATGGGCGAAGGGGGGGAGGCTGGCGCTGTTCGCTCATGCCTGGTCCCACAATTTGTGTGCATTTCGGGTCGTTTCCTTCAGCCTGTGGTGGCGTTGGGTGGCTCCCTCCTCGTTCGGGGCTGGTGGGGCAGGCCTCTTCCTGGTCTATTCTCAGTGCCGAAACGGGACTGTGTGGACCTGGGGTTCGTTCTGGACTTGTCCCGTCTGAACCCTTGGGTTCATTGCCCCTCCTTTCAGATGACTGTGCTGTCCCAGGTTCGGCTCCTTTTGGCATCAGGCTCTTGGATGGTGTCCCTGGACCTTCGGGACGCTTATTGGCACGTCCCGATTCATCTGGGGTTCAGGGACTGGCTTGGTTTTGTCATGGGGCGTCAGGGTTACCGCTTTCGTTGTCTCCAGTTCGGGCTGAACCTGCCACCTCATGTGTGTTCACATGCCTGACCCGGGTTGTTGTAGCCCGTCTGCATCTCTTAGGTGTTCGGGTGTTGGCCTACCTCGACGACTGGCTGGTTTGGGCTCCCAGCCAGTCCTCTTGTCTGCTAGCCAGGGACTTCGTTCTTTCTCAGCTCGCTGGGTTCGGGTTCTTGGTGAACTGGAGGAAGTTCCATTTGGTTCCCTCCCAGGTTCGGACCTGGCTGGGCCTTGTGTGGGACTCTTGGACCACTTCCTTGTCTCTACCTCCAGGGTCTCTCCTACGGCTGCGATCCCGCATGCGCCTGTTTCTAGGAGGCTCCCGGGTCACCCGGCAGTTGCTCGAGGGTCTGTGCGAGAGCCTGAACTTCTCGATGATGGTCTACCCACCAGGTCGGGTTTGATTTCGTCGGCTATTCTGGTTCCTTCTGGGACATCCCTTCCGCCTCTCTCACGATCGCTGGGTTCGGACCCCAGGGGCCTTATGTCGGCTGTTCTGGTTCTTTCGGGGACGTCCCTTCCGCCTATCTTGCGATTGCTGGGTTCGGACCCTGGGGGCCTTACGTCAGCTGTTGGGTCGCCGGCTTCCTCTTCGGGTTTTTCGGGGTTCTGTGCCTTGGCGCCTGCCCGAGCTCTCACTCGATGTGTTCACAGACACATTGTCTTTCGGCTGCGGCTTTGTGACCAGTGCTCACCAGGTCGGCCAGGGACGGTGGGGTCCGTCCTTCCGTCGAGCCCATGGCACGGTGTGGGATTTCGCGGTGGTGTGGTTTGCTCTTCGGAGGGTTCGGGTCACCTGCGGTTCGACAATCTGGCTCCATTTAGATTGCTCCCCTGTGGTTCATTGCCTGAACCAGGGGGGATTCGATGAGGTCCCTGGCTCTTTGGCGCTGGTTGCTTTGGGTGACTCGTCTGCTGAGTTCTCGGGGTTTAGCTCTCCTGGCTGTTCACATGTGGGGAGTGTCCAACGTCTTGGTTGACAGCCTGTCACGTTTCGTTCCCCTTTCCACGGAATGGACAGTTGACGCTGACTCCTTCCATTGGCTCTGCCAGACGTTCGAGTGCCTCGAGGTGGGCCTCTTCGCACGGCATGGTTGCAGCGCCTTCCCCTTTATGTAGTGCCCTTCCCCGACTGCGGGGCCGTCGGGGTCGATGCCTTTCAGCAGGACTGATCGAGGTGGGGGTTCCTGTACCTCTTTCCCCCAGTTCAGCTGGTGCTCCAGGTCCTGACTCGCTTGGAGACTTACCAGGGGAGAGTAGTCCTCTTGATCCCTTTGTGGCCGGCCCAGCCGTGGTTTCAGGTGCTGCTTGCCCGGTGTCGGAACCCGGAGGTTTTCCCGTGGCTTTGCCTCTTCCAGCAGATCGAATCGGAACTTTACGTGGCTGGTTCGATCTCCTCGAGTTTTTGCGTATGGTGTTTTTGACTCGAGCTTATAATCATCTCTATGGTCATCAGGTGTCATCCTTGTTAGTGTCCCACCTGTGGGCTTCATCTCGGCGGCAGTATGAAGTTTCCTGGCAGTCCTCCTGGTTCTTTTTGCATATTCGTCGTTGTACTTCACTTTCTGTTAGGATGGTGTTGTCCTTTCTCTCTTGCTTGTTCCAGGACGGTCATCTTATGCCTAACCACCATGCCTCGTATCGTGCGGCGCTGGCGGAGCCGCTTCAGCTTGCTTTCGGTGTTGATGTTACATCTGCGCTGTTTAGCAAGCTGTCTCGTGTGTTGTTTCACCTCCGGTCTGCTCATGCGCTGCCTGAGCCGTCCTGGTCTTTGGACAGAGTGCTCTCTTTTCTTTCTTCTCTTCGGTTTCTTGTGGCCCCTTCGGTTCAGGATTGTTTCTCGAAGGCTCTTTTTCCTGTTGGCATTAGCCTCTGTGGGTCAAGTCAGTGAGCTTCATGCTCTCCTCCGGCGCAGGGGTTTCTGCTCCTTCAATTGTGGCGATAGGTTTGTTCGTCTGCAGTTCGTCTTTTCTGGCAAAGAATAAGACTGCTGCTTTCCGGAGGGGTCCTTGGGTTATTGATGCTTGTTTGATTAGGCCGGGGAGTGCATCATGTTTTGTGTCCGGTTGCAGCCCTCCACAGTTATTTGCGTGCCATGGCTTCTGTGTCCGGGGGACGCACTTTGGGTTGATCCGGTTTTCCCTTCTTCCCTGTTCGCGGGTGTGGGTCTCCCAGGTTGTCCGCAGGATTATTAGGGCTAGCCAACCTGCGGTCTCTCCTTGTGCCCATGACGTTTGCAAGTTCACTGCTCTTGCCGCCGTCTTTGGTAACATGTCCTGGGCTGACATTCGGGCGCGGGGATTTTGGCGGTTGAATAGGGTCCTGGCTGCTTGTTATCTCATGAACGTTCCTGGGCCTAGTCGGGCCTATGTCACGTGGGGGTCGGTGGATGCAGCCAGTTGTCTCAATTTCGAGTTGAGTGAGTAGCGACCGCCTCCTGGGTAAGTCCCTGTAATTTTTTATCTGTGGGTAGTTAGCTCCGGGAAGCCGATGGGGCTGCCCCCAGAAAACCAGCGTTGAATGTAACAAAACACCATTTTCTGGGTGAGACCCGGAAGCTCCCCGGCATCCCTCCCTCCCTCCGGTCGGCAGTTTTTCGCGTGTTTTGACATCCAGCCTCAGAACTGAAGGGTGGATAGCCGGCGCGAGGGTCTGGGGCTCCCCCTTCCCCCTCCTGGTGCGGGGGCAGCTGGACAGATAGCGGTGCGGCAACGTGTGACGTCTTGCTTGTTTGTTCGTTTTTAGGGGAGTTCTATCCACTTTTTCGGCTTTTGGTAGCAAAATTTTCACTAGAATAGGCGTTTGTTTTGGGATGCTTACCTTTCTGGATGCCTGACCCGGTCGATGACAGACATAGAATACTTTCAACTACACAGGGACCAGTGACTATAGACCAGTGCTCCCCATGCCTCTCTGAGGGGGGCCAGGTTCTGGCTCGTGGTCCCCAGTAGGCCCACAGAACTCCATACACATGACTGATGCCAAAGTCTGACATTAGCATATCAGCCTAGTAAGCTCCAGGGAGCCTCCGGGTCTCGCCCAGAAAATAGCGTTTCATTATATTCAACGCTGTTTTTTTTATAAATATTCAGGTAAAGTTAATGTCAAAATGTTTCCAAACTCAACTATTTCCATTTCAAAATACAATGAGTAATGAAAACATTAAAAAACATTAAAATATAGCCTAATTAAAAAAAATTAGCAACTCTCAGAGCGCCTAAAGGCGCTTTGCGCAATGCAGTGGTTAAGTTAACTGAACAAAGCTGCCAAAGAAATAAATACAAGAAAATTCACTTTTGCAAACATAATGGTAGATGGTTGGAACAAGTTAAGTGAGATGGTGATGTAGGCCAAAACCATTAGTTGTTTCAAAGTGTAAATGATAGATAATGCTGCAGTCCCCGTGGTGCAGTGGTAAAACACTCGACCGGCGCTTCGTGAGCACTTTGTCCTGGGTTCATATCCTGGCCGTGGAGGGTTTACTGGGGGCCAATCCTTAACTGTAGCCTCAGTTCACCCAGTAGTGAATAGGTACCTGGTTTTTAAACGATTTGGCAGGTCGTATTCTGGGAAAAATTAGGATTAAGGACCTGTCCAAAATGCTGTGCGTGCCAGTGGTTTTACAAGATGTAAGAACTCTTGTGTATATAAATAAATAAATAAATGCTGGGAAGCTGGGACTCCACGAGCAGAGTTCTCATCCTGTGACTACATATAGGTAATTACACTTAGATAATTACTTAGAAATAATCCATTTGTTTCCTTTCAGTTGGTAATTCACTAGTACATATTTGGTATTTGGTATTTTTCAGAGATAAAAAAGAATTGGAGTTGTTATCAGAAGAAATTTGGATAGAGATTGCCAAGATGTACAACCTACCAAGTGTTCGAGGATGGAATCTCTATTCTGGTGAGTACCCACACAGTTGTTCAAGTTGATCGTGAAGGGCTCGAGGAGTAGATGAACTCCTGAAACCCTCTCCAGATATGCTCCAGTTGTATAAGAATATACTAAAATATTATGACTCTTAATTTTTATTATACTGTACTTGTGTACAGTACAAGATAAGTGATAAAGGACATGTTTGGTAATAGGTAAATTGGAGCTAGAAGTGTACAGTACTGTGGATCACATGGGAGGAGGGCAGGGCAGTGGGTAGGAGTGTACTGTGGATCACAGGGAGGTCAGGGCAGGGCAGTGGGTAGGAGTGTACTGTGGGTCACATGGGAGGAGGGCAGGGCAGTGGGTAGGAGTGTACTGTGGATCACATGGGAGGAGGGCAGGGCAGTGGGTAGGAGTGTACTGTGGATCACAGGGAGGTCAGGGCAGGGCAGTGGGTAGGAGTGTACTGTGGATCACATGGGAGGAGGGCAGGGCAGTGGGTAGGAGTGTACTGTGGATCACATGGGAGGAGGGCAGGGCAGTGGGTAGGAGTGTACTGTGGATCACAGGGAGGTCAGGGCAGGACAGTGGGGTAGGAGTGTACTGTGGATCACATGGGAGGAGGGCAGGGCAGTGGGTAGGAGTGTACTGTGGATCACATGGGAGGAGGGCAGGGCAGTGGGTAGGAGTGTACTGTGGGTCACATGGGAGGAGGGCAGGGCAGTGGGTAGGAGTGTACTGTGGATCACATGGGAGGAGGGCAGGGCAGTGGGTAGGGGTGTACTGTGGATCACATGGGAGGAGGGCAGGACAGTGGGTAGGAGTGTACTGTGGATCACATGGGAGGAGGGCAGGGCAGTGGGTAGGAATGTACTGTGGGTCACATGGGAGGAGGGCAGGACAGTGGGTAGGAGTGTACTGTGGGTCACATGGGAGGAGGGCAGGGCAGTGGGTAGACTCTGAAGAGTTGAGGGAGTCACAGAGTAAGTTATTAGCAAAAGAAGACACCAAGTCCAGGAGACTGTTTAACATCGTTTGTGTTACAGAATATTAACCAAAATTGCTGCAAATCATTCATTATGCCAATACAAGAGCAAAAAGATTCAAAATGAGTCATGTCTAAGGTATCAAATTCACTGTTGGGACATCAGGACACAGCACTTCTGACAGTAAGGTACAGGAGCCTTTATTCCTATGTTATGACAAGAAGGCCTTTGATGTGTCAGTTATAATTTAAGAAATAATAAATGTACAGGAGTACCTCGGTTTACGAATTTAATCCGTTCCTGGAGACGGATCGTAGCCCAAAAATTCGTAAACCGAAGTGAATGTCCCCATAAGAAATAATGGGAATGAATTATTCCGTTCATGACTCCTCAAAAAATTAACTTCAAAGTAAATTTTATACCTAATTCACACAAATCTTTGCTACAAAAGTATGTACAAGTTATTACTTACCTTTACTGATGACTCCTGTTGGCGTATGGAAGACGGTGAGGAGGGGGGGAGGAGGAGGAGAGGTGTTACTGTTTGGAAGAGGAGTCCCTTTCCATTATAACATCAGGCAGTGAGGACCTCTCTGGGGTGCACTCTCTGGCACGTTTTGCCTGCATACCACTAGGACCTGCTTCTGGCTCACTGCATAATTTTCTCATTGTTTTTCTTGAAGATTTTTTTTCCTTTCTTTGTAACACTTATCTGTAGTGAGACATCACATTGTCAATAATAAGATCAATGCAATGGCCTGCTAAAGCTTTATCTGGATGATTCTTTTCAGCAAAACTTTGCAGTTCTTCCCATACTGCTCACATTTTTTTAATTAATGAGGAAGGGACATCCTCTAATGCCTCCTCCTCCCCTGAAGATTTGTTATACTGCCTAGCTAGTTCAACAACACGTGTACCATTTTCATGTTTACAAATGATATCTGGTTTTCCTCTATGGTCATTCTCACATGTGTTTTCTTGCCATGAACCTTACCACTGGCTTTCTTGGGACCCATGGCGAGACATATAATAACAACTTTTATGTTCAAATAGCCAAAAATCCAAAAAAAAAGTAAATCCATGCATAGAATTCAGGCAGGAGGCACTGGGAAACTGAGGCGCGATCGTCGTGCCACCACGCGCTAGGTCGGCCATACGCGTATCATCAAACTCGTATCCCGAGGTAAAGTTTGTAACCCGATTTAAATTTTCTAAAGAAATCGGGCTCGTAACCCGAAAAGTTTGTAAAGAGCAATGTTTGGATCAACATTGCTGTTGATTGCCAGCAATCAACTTCCAATTAATGCACAACTATATTCTACCCACTTCAAGACTCTGAACCAATATCGAAGCATCAAGAGGAAGTATGGGCCAATAGGCCCTCTGCAGTTACTTCCATTCTTATGCTCTCATATCCAATTAATACCCATTGTTTCGTGTTCTATCTTGTATTTGCCTCAAGTTTGTTCACCACATCCAAAACTGTTGCACCATATCACCTCATCCAAATGTGAGTATAAGTAAGACGGATTAGATGTTTATTGTTAGTATCAGTAAGACTCTGTTTAGTGTTTTCTGGTTACAGTTGTGTGTGTAAACTAAAGTCTTTGAAAATGTAATAAGTTATTACGAAACGCGTTCAAGCGTCGCGTCAGACTAGAAATAAAAATAAATTTTGGAGAATTGATTTTTCAATTACCATTGACAGTAAAAAGAAACATAAGAAATATCGAGAAAATTCATGTTAGTATTATTACTCTTACTTTTTCAGTCATATTTAACAACATCATATACATACATACATACATACATACATACATATATATATATATATATGTATATATATATATATATATATATATATATATATATATATATATATATATATATATATATATATATATATATATATATATATAAAGAAGTTTGTGAGGGTACCACCTCTGGTGCCAATGTGGGGACCCATAGCCTCGGAGAAGAAAATAAAAAGTATTTAGAGGAGACCTTGTGGTTTCTCACTGAACACTAATATTATCTTCTCCTACCACCCCAATCTTTTGTGTGTGTGTGTGTATATATATATATATGTATGTGTATATGTCATACCTAGTAGCCAGAACGCACTTCTCAGCCTACTATGCAAGGCCCGATTTGCCTAATAAGCCAAGTTTTCCTGAATTAATATATTTTCTCTAATTTTTTTCTTATGAAATGATAAAACTATCCATTTCATTATGTAAGAGGTCAAATTTTTTTAATTGGAGTTAAAATTAACGTAGATATATGACCGAACCTAACCAACCCTACCTAACCTAACCTATCTTTATAGGTTAGGTTAGGTAGCCGAAAAAGTTAGGTTAGGTTAGGTTAGGTTGTCGAAAAACCATTAATTCATGAAAACTTGGCTTATTAGGCAAATTGGGCCTTGCATAGTAGGCTGAGAAGTGCGTTCTGGCTACTAGGTACGACATATATATATATATATATATATATATATATATATATATATATATATATATATATATATATATATATATATATATATATATATATATATTATATATATATATATATTATATATATATATATATATATATATATATATATATATATATATATATATATATATATATATATATATATTTACCTCCAACAGTGAAGCGTAATGTAAGAAAGATTGAGAAAATTCGTGTTAGAATTATTAATCTTACTTTTTCGGTCATATTTAATAATATATGTCTACAGGAAAGACTGCTACCAAAATATACTAATATATATATATATATATATATATATATATAGCATATACTAATATGCTATATATGATATACTAATATACTAATATGCAATATATACTAATATATATATATATATATATATATATATATATAGCTATATATATATATATATAGCAGGAAAGACTGCTACCAAAATATACTAATAATATATATATATATATATATATATATTAGTATATTTTGGTAGCAGTCTTTCCTGTAGACATATATTATTAAATATGACCGAAAAAGTAAGATTAATAATTCTAACACGAATTTTCTCAATCTTTCGTACATTACGCTTCACTGTTGGAGGTAAATCAAAAATCACTTCTCCAAAATTCATTTTTATTTCTAGTCTGACGCGACACGGGCGCGTTTCGTAAAACTTATTACATTTTCAAAGACTTCACAAATACACAACTGATTAGAACTTGCGTTTCCGGAAAGTAGAGTTGGAAATTCTGTTGGACGACATATTCGACCTCGAGACACAAAAGAAGGTCACTACCAAAGATACCTTACAAGCAGAACTTATTGCAGAAGGAGGAAAGAATCGAGGCAACTACAGAAGCACCATACTGTCCCCCGAGCTTAAAGCGGCAGCTAAAAGCCTTCGTGAGAACAAGGTGATAGTTGTCAGGAGAGGTGACAAATCGCCAATATATGTCATTCTTAAAAAAGACGAATATCTGGCGAAAATGAACATCATACTCTCTGACCAAACTAAGTTCCAAAGGGTAACGAAGGACACTACAGCCGAATTAAAAGCAAAGGTCAACAAACTGATCGAAACTGTGAACGCCAAGAAATCCGGACTCCACCTGCCAAAGATCATTGGGGAATATAAACCTGGATATGCGTATGGAAATGTCAAGACGCACAAGCCTGGAAACCCACTTCGGCCAATCATTAGCCAGATACCCACACCCACGTACAGACTGGCGAAGCGACTCAACGGCCTGCTGACTCCTTATGTTCCTTGCGCCTTCAGCCTGAAGTCTCCAAAGGAATTTGTGGACTTACTGCGGGGCGCACGGGCCACAGGGATAAGAGCCTCGTTGGACGTAGAATCGCTGTTTACCAACGTACCTGTGGACGAGACAATCGGAATGATAGCCGACAGAGTGTATCGTGATCCAGCCTGTACTCCTCTTGACATGCCAGAAAGTATTCTGAGGAAACTACTCCAAGCTTGTACTAAAGAGGCACCCTTCTTGAGCCCGGATGGGCACATGTATAAGCAAGTAGATGGGGTCGCCAT